GGGGGTACCTTCCAGACGGGGGTCAACCTCGCCTCGTCGTCGCGCCGCGACGGGGGTCGGAGCGCCTTCGGCGCGCGGTGGCTGCCCGCGACGGGTGTCGATGTTGGGGCTGTCGGCGGGGTTGACACCCCCCCGACGCTTGTAAAGAAACTCGGAGCAGGGGGGGTGGATATCGTGGCGTGGGCCATGATATTTCCCCAGATTTCACGGCGCCTTTTCTTATTTCATTTCGTCCCTCCCCCCCCCCCCAATGGGCCGCGCACTTGCTGCCGGCCATGATTTGCGCTCCCCCCTCTTGGACGCCCCCCTCTTGGCCGCCCCCGGTAGATGGGGTCGGAGTAGGTGGGTCTGAGGATCGCGCCGCATCGCCGAGGCATCGGCGGCGCGGCTCGATGTGGATCTTGATGTGTTACACGTCGACGTCGCCGACGTCAACCATGCATCGCTGCTACATCGCCGATGTATCGGCGATGCGGCGCAGTCCTCCGACCCCATCTATTGGCACCCCATCTAGAAGGCCGCTAAGGACGGAGATCACGGTGGCCGTAGTGATGACTTTGATAGCAGCGAGCATGATGGTTGTAGTATTGACGATGCTTTATGTGATCGGCTAGACGTGAGAGTGACCTTTTGCCGGAGTGATCTTTTAGGTGCGAGCCCAAAGGGGTCCCCCGTTCGCCGAACGCGAGGCGGCAGTAGCGCCTCGCCCGCCTGTGGTTGGCCCCCCCGCGGCCTCCACAAAGCTGCGCATTAAAGGACACTCTTACCCAGGGTCGCTCTTCCGTGTAGACGATGTTCGGAGTATGATGAGGGTACAGATCCGTTTTCAATACATGCTCCGCGTGCGGATCATGTATTAAGATAAAGGGATTTCGTATTAAAAACAATGGTGATTGTATGCATTGATTTCGTGGTAAAGTAATAATGTACTAAACATCCTATATGATTAAGAATTCGATGTATTAAAAACTGTCCTGTATGATGAGGGTACGGTGATCTGGGTTCATCTTGGAAGCGCTCTGGACGGTGTTGTTGTACATTTCTGTATTTTGGGCCCCCGGCCGTCGAGGCGGATCATCATTGCGTTTGCGCTGCTCGCTTTCTTGTCGAGGACTGCTCCTTGTCTTCCCTGCGGCTTCGCTCCCGCTCTCCTGCTCCTGCTAGCTTAAGCCGGGCATGTCCCTCTACAGGAGAAATATTGAAAGGTAGTCAAACAAATAGTCTGGAGACGATTTTCTCCCGGAAAGGACTCAAGCCCAGGGTTCTCTTTTAGTTTGTTTCTCCCCGGGTTTGACTTGAGGTGGGCTGGCGAATTTCTTTTGCGATAAATGTCGAGGTCGAGGTGGGCCAGCGAATGAACATTTGAGGATGTCCCTAGCGAAACGCTTGTTGTTCAGAATTTGTTGAGGATGTCTCGAGCGAAACGCTTGTTTTGTGTTATAGATTGCCTTTTCCTGGGGACCTGCATTCACAGGATCTCTCAAGTGAAATGCTTGTTTTCACCTGCCCAGGTCTTGAGGATGTCTCGAGCGAGACGCCTGGTTGCACGTCTCCAGGTTGCCCAGACAGAGGTCTAGCGCCAGGATTTGTTGAGGATGTCTCGAGGGAGATTCTTGGTTTCACGCGTTCTCGTCACCCAGGCGGATGTCTAGCATGAGGATGTGTCGAGGAAGCCTCGATCGAGACGCTTGCTTGCACGTGTCCAGGCTGCCCATGCGGATGTCTAGCATGAGGATGTGCTGAGAACGTCTTGAGCGAAACGCTTGTTTTCACGTGTCCAGGTCGCCCAGGCACAGCACAGCCCTCAGCACGGTACATCAATATCGATATTTTTAGCATTGCAGCCTGGCATGTTGCTTGGCACGTTCCGCGGAGCGTCCCGTGGCGAGTCCCCCTGGCACGTCCCGCGGCACGTCCATTGGCACGTTCCGTAGCCCTCGGCACGTCCCGCGGTGCGTCCCCATGGCACGTCCCCTGGCACGTCGCCTGGCGCGTCCCTTGGGACGCTCCGCGGCGCGTCCTCCTGGCATGTCCCTCTGTCGATTAGTCCTGGGGCAGCTACCATCTGCTCAGAGTTCGGTCAGGATTTAGATGCAAAGAGGACTCGATCCACAACGCTATATTGAGCACAATCGCGGCATTGCACATCGCAGTTCAGCACGGCGTAGCACAGCACAGCCGTCGGCACGGTACATCAAGATCGATACATTCAATATTGCACTTTGGCACGTTCCTTGGCGCGTTCGGTGGCGAGTCCTCCTGGCACGTCGCGCGGCGCGTCCCCTGGCACGTCCCGCGGCACGTCCATTGGCACGTTCCGTAGCGCGTCCCCTCGGCACGTCCCGCGGTGCGTCCCATGGCACGTCCCCTGGCACGTCGCCTGGTGCGTCCCTTGGGACGCTCCGCGGCGCGTCCTCCTGGCATGTCCCCTCTGTCGATTACTCCTGGGGCAGCTACCATCTGCTCAGGCAGCTCGAGCTTAAGATCCAGATCAGTTCACTCAGGACTCGGATGCCAGGGAGGACTCGATCCACAACGCTATATATAGAGCACAATCGCGGCATGGCACATCGCAGTTCAGCACGGCGTAGCACAGCATAGCCCTCGGCACAGCATATCAAGATCGATACATTCAGAATTGAATTTGCCCGTCGCCCAATCAGGCGTCTTTGAAGCGTTGCCATGCCTTACATTTCCATATGCCTTTCCGGGTTCGTGGGTCGATCATGTTGATGTTGGATCACATTTGGATATTTGTTGATTGTTTTTACATTTCCTCCAAAATCCGCCTATAGGGGGACATGCCCGACCTAATATTAGCTACTGCTCCCCGCTCTGCGCGCAGAGCTACAAAAAGCACCCTAAGACGGGTCGAACTCCCGCGCGACACAGCCCCGGAGGCCCCGAGACCAGTCAGTAGCGGCGGCCAGAGAACAGTAAGAGGAATACTCTTACACAGAACCGTTTTTGACGCTTCGCGTATCCCCATCCCCTATTGTACCGCGCCCCGGACGTTGTGACCGCTCCCTGGGCATTTCCTTGGAGCCGCGACCCAAAAAAAAAGTATCCCCATCCCCCCCACCAGTTCTCCCGGACGCTGCGTCCGCTCCCTGACATTTGCCTTGGAGCCGCGAAACAAAAAAATATCCCCACCAGCAATTCGTGGTTGCGTGCCCCGCTTCTACTGGACTCGCCGCTGGCGCGCTCGCCTGCGGCCGCTGACTAAAAAAGTATCCCCACCAGCGCCCCTCTTGGCG